TGTTAGGGATGTTAGGGTATGCTAGTGGATGTTAGAGGGTTGTTTAGAGATGTTAGATGGTTGTTAGAAGGTGTTAGGAGTTGTCAGGAGGTGTCAGGAGTTGTTAGGAGATTTTAGGAGGTATTAGGAGGGGTCAGGTGGTGCCAGGAATTGTTAGGAGGTGTTTGGAGATGATAGAAGGTTTTAGGAATTGTCGGGAGGTCTCAAAAATTGAACGAAAGTTTAGTTGCCACTAATAATATGTCGGCGCGGAGTATATGCCACTTTTGAAATGCAACCAGCTAGCTAGTTTGTTGGTTCGGTTGTCATCCCGTAGGCGCAGGGATGCCCCCGGTATGCGGCAACCATTACTAGTGCTTTTGTCAGTTCGGTTGTAGATGAAAAGCTCTAGTGTATTTTTCATTGTCATTAGATTTTACTTCTGTCATTGAATAAATCGATACTCACGCAACAATTAATTATACCAGATTAACGATTTACGCAAACCGAAAGACTTATATTCACGCAAAGTCTGAGATTGAAAAGTTGAAAATGTTGGAAGAGGTTACGAACAGCTGGGCCATCGGCCTGCACTCGTTTCTTGACGTTTCACAGTTTACACCGATGGTATCGAATTTGTGGGATAAAGAAACGTTCAACGTGCAACATTTAATTGACACGAAAATAAAAAAGGCTGACGTACTTCTTGGATACTCGATTCTGCTTTGGGTGATTTTGTACCTGATGTATGAAAAGTGCCTTAATGTACGTTTTCTATTTCGATATTTCGAACTTCCACGTTGTTTTGTTATGTTAATTAATGAACTTATCGATTGTGTTTCTTTGGCTTATTGGCAAAGAGTGCAGATAAAGAATAACAAGCCTTCAATTTGGTACTTTTGATTTTATTTATTAACACAGTCGCTACTTCGACGTATGCGAATACCATTGGTGCAGAGGAGTAGAATAATCGAGGCTGTGTGGAATTGTGGATTTTGCTTTGGTAGCATTTGTTATCTAAAGTCGTCTACAATCAAGACAATAAACTTCTTCTCTGAAGGACGGGAGGTGACGCACGAAGAGCTGGGTGTCATTCTGCATAAAAGCTTTTATTTTCATCGGGCAGGAGTAGAGATATTCTGTCATGGAGCTTGGTCGAAAGGCTGGGCAAACTTGCTATTTGCGTCATTCGTCATGAATCCATATCAGGAAAAGTAATGAAGCTTCCATTTTAATAGAGCCAACTGATATTACCTCGTTTGTCTAGACATTTCTTAACACTTTGTTTAATCATTTCACTGTTTCCTTCAGTCTCATAGAGTATCTTTAAGTTCTGTAGTTCACTTGTTCTTTCACAGATGGTGTACAGTAGTAAGCACCTTCTTATTTTATAAAGCAATTGACACTATTGTAATAAATATTTGTCGAATTCTATTGTGTGTATTCCACTTCAGAGGAAGAAAGTTAGCCAAACTATTTTTCTTCGTTCATTGCCTTGGATGGTTAGTACATTGAATTTGAAAAAAAATTTAATAAAGTATTTTTTCTGATAAATATTATTTTTAGGATATATTTATATGTACTATTTGTGCCTAAATTGATGTTACGACTGGAAAAGACTACTTACACCCGGGCAGAGCTTGGCTTATGGCTGTGGTTTACAGCAGAATGTATAGATTCGGTAATAATATCGTACACGTTGATCTTAATTCAAAGTGTTTCTTTGTTTCGTAGAAAACAATTTTTACTTAAATTAAGATTTAATGTATAGGTGTGGCTAAGACTTTTGGGATGTGCTAAGGCTACGTACTGGCTCGAAATTTGTTTATTTCCCCGTCCAACGCGTGAAGCAATCGTACTTGCGGGAATTCAAAAGCGACATAGAGATTCTTTAAGAAAGTTAGTTAATAAGACATCAAAGAAGACTGAACTATGGCAAACTATGCTCTGTAAGTATGCCGGAGCGTTAAACTTATCTACGAAAATTTTAATGTTAATAATGATTTTAAAATAAAGGTGCGGTAGCTATTAAGAAAAAATTGAAAAAAATTAGACAAGCAAAGCAGAATGATTCCGAATTGACGATTGATTCTGCTGAAACGGAAAAAACGCAAGTGGAGAACGAAGAAGAGAGAGATCAATAATTACAAAATTATACAGTCAGTATTATTACAAAATTGCAGCTCCTTATGTATTGGTAAGGAAAGACAGTAAATGAGATTTATTTATAGTTCCTATAATATCTTCAAATGAATTTATGTAGAAGAAAAATGTTAAACGCGATCAATTTAAGAATACGAACGGGATGTAATTAATGAAAATCTGCACAAAATTTTGTTTAATACAAAAATCAAATTTATTTGAGAATTTGATAGATGTATACCTGTATATGTAGAAAGTTCCATCGCATACACGCTTATAAGTTAACGGTACATGTCACGATTAATATCCGTCGCGTTTTACACAAACCTTCAGTTGAGGATTTCGTGATTGGCACGATATCACGGTAACATTACAATCGAGATTACGAAGCATGCATTCGTATTAGGGTAGGTGGATAAAAACAGTAATTGATACGGTTGACACGTTGATTATTAATTTAACTTCAAATGGTTAACGATTATTTTCATATGAATTCATTCATAAAATCTTCGCTCGGAAAATGACTTTACGTTTTGTGATAATGCAGGATGAGTGTAGTACAATTAGCTCGCATATAGTTTTGTTTCTTATCTTTTAAACATTAAGCTAGAGGCACAATATGTATATCTACAAAGCGAATAGAGAACACGCCGATGCTATTTCGCTTGATGTCAAAATTGCTTACGGATTAAGCGTAGGTACATTGTAATACGACATAGATTAACCGATAAATAACCTATCTGGGACAGTAAATAAAAAGATTTAGAAGCAATTCACGAAATTAAAGCGAAGAAAGAATATTACAGGTTAAAAGTGGGGTTTAAACTAAAATTGTAAGAAATCGAAACATTGCTCGTATCCGTTATAATAAAGAAACGTGATTCATGTGACACGTTATTCCTAGATATATAAAGTTTTATTTCCGATCATTCTGGACTGTGTCAATAAAATATAGTACATGTATTTAGGCTGAATTGTTCCACGATGTTATACAGTTTAATGAAAAATATTATAAACGAATATGGTTGGAATAAAGTTGTATTTAATACGCCGGAAGTGTATACGCCTCGATGGAATCATACTTCTAAAAATTGTTAAAACATTCGGTTTAGAAACTTATACGTAACAAGTTGTATTACACAAACGCATAATACCATTTCCTAACCCGATAATAATTAATATTAAAATTATTCAAGCGACCTTACTTTTACGACATTGTCTAAATGCAGGGGCATTCTATGTTCTAGCGAATGCATCAATGCACCTCGTTCCTTGTAATTAAAAAGTTACATATCGTTCTCTTCTTTCTTTCATTTTTTTTTTTTTTTGCACGAGGAAATTGTACCTCGCGCAGTACAGAGCTTCTCAAACGATTACCAGTTAATAATCTAAAAAATCATGCTCGTCCCAGTTCCGAAAATTTGTCTGAGAAGTTACATCGTACGAACAAACGAAACTTTGTAAAAGGTGATGGTACAGAATTGAATCGATGGTAAAACATTTAATAATAACGTCGATCGATTGTGCGCTACACAAAACCCGATTACTCGCTGCGATGATTAAAACTACGTTTAATACAGCAACACTTCTCTCCCTGAATGCGTTGTGAATCCAAGTGCTGAATAAGGCCTTTTCATGTGAATGACGACCGTTAAAAGTTCAACACCGTTTATAAAATTCCATCCTCCGAGAACAACATTCTCGATGGCCTCTCGCGAACGATAGACAACCGTTTGTTTTATTACGTAGGTTTTATAATCGAACTTATAGACACACTCACAAAATATCTTGCCATATTATTTTATCGTGTGTGTAATGGTTATTTGTAATATTTATATATATGTATATTGTTAAATTGTTTTAACTTACGTCGAATAACTATCACTGCGCTCACTTCACGTTAATAACGTGTAATCAGTTTTTCCTTCTTTTTTTTTTTTTTTTGAGTTTCTTTAATGACCTTCTCACACATTCACGCTCTCTCAAACGACGAAAAAATAAAGGACGAAAGATGGAAGGAAATACAATGTCCACGTGTAAAATTCACACCGGTGCGATGATCATAATGACAAGCTGCTTTTTTTTGTTCTTTTATTATTTCTTCGTTTCGGAATCGGATGCTTGTGTTTAAAATTTTGACGAACGAGATGAACAGATTTTTTGTTTGTTAAATATAATATCTTTATGTATATGGCATTCTAATGTTTGTTATAAAATAAAATGGTTCGTGATGCTACCTTATCAGGAGCTTCTTCAAATGTTTATAATTCTATTTCAGTGCAACCATATCGGTACCCCGAACACTTCCGATTTACTTACATATCGTTTTCGGTGAACTTCTCGATTATTATAAATCCCGAATATTTCGGTGATTCGCTCTATATTAAACGCAACCTGATTCTTAATTTTGTCGTTCCAAGCAAAATGCTTGCACGTTACAAACGTTAACAACCACAGGGCTCTGATAATGTACGTTATCCATTAGTTCATCGACTAAAAAGAGTCACGCGTAAAAAATGTTTAAAACGTATCGAAAAGCTCTACGATCTGTGGCCGAAGAATACCAATTAAAGACGAAATCGACGTCTTATACGACGGATCGTTGGTTTGCTTTTAAGATATATCGTGGCTACTCACATATACTTAACTAGCAACTTACCAATCAGACTCTACTCGTTTTTTCTGTTGTTCTTTTTCTTTTTTTTGGTACATTTTTTTTGTGTTTTTTTTTTCTTTCTTTCTTTCTTTTATTTGGCGAGGGCAGCAGCGAATCAATAAAACATGTGATTTATCTGCCCGTCGAAAGTAAATTGTAATTTCATACCTCAGGAAGACAATAAATTATTGGAACGCGATCGTACAACAAACAATTACGTGTTTCTAGTTTTGTCCTCGTCTTCTTCCTTTCTCGTGCACGCGGTGTAAAATTTCTAATAAACGTTCGCGGTTCGTCGATGGTGCTGGAACGAATACGGTTACGAAAGTTACCTTATTACAAACATATACGTATTACATGAGCAATAAAATTTGAGTCGGTTAATATTTCTTAGGCCCAACCCGTGTCTTTCCTCTTTAGTTTCACATATTCTGCGCCTTCGCGTAGATGCAGATATTTAGAATTTGTAGTTTCGATCGGTGACGCGCGCGCCGTCGTTCCTCTTTCCTTTTTTTTCGTTTCTATTTATTTTTGTGAAAATATGGCCCCATTGTTACAGGCTCGATGTAGGTTTCGGAAACGGCTCGATATTATCTTTCTGTCATCCTGAGTCTGCAACAGGCTTCGTTGAATTAAATGCCACCTACATTTATGATCGCGGATCCGTTCTCGTTACCGGTTTTAATACATATTATAGCAGTCGTCGCCTTGTCGCGTCTCAGTCGATTCAACGTCGATCGTCGTTGTAAAACCCATTTAAAAACCCCAAATGTAAAATATAACGCTTCGGTCCCATGTACGCGATTTTCTTTCTCTCTGTACAACGCGACTGCGAGACTACTTCAGCGTGATCCATCGAATTTCTCGTGGGGCCCCTCGAGATCGATCGATCATTAGTTCCACTCGCGTTTTATGCTTCAAGAATAAATTAATATCACACTATACAATATTACAGTTTAATTTTGCTTCGAGACTCGTACTCAGCGCGGTCTAATGGCATCGATCATTCTCGACGATAAACACGAGCGTAATTCGTTAAACGAGTACGAAGAATCACAATTGTAGCGGCATAAAATTGAACATCTTTAGATCTTTCCATATTAATTCTAAATACATTGTGTACGTGTTTCGACAATTTGTTCGTTTCTATACTCTTAATACCTTGTGTTTAAACTTTATATCTCTTGCTTCATCTGCATTATCAACAATAAAACCACGTACTGGAAAGCGGTTGCTTCCAATCTCTGTCGAGGAATATATTTCTTGCTCTCTGGAACTGTTACTCGATTTAATTTTCTACTTAGGTAGCGAAATCGTCTCGAACCATGCGGTAGAAACTATAGGAATATAATACAAGAGCTTACGGAGCTAGAACGAGGCCATAAATCAACAATGCGAATGAACTTTCGGCGCAAACCAGAGATCAAGAAATTTGTCCAATTTCGTTCTCGAAAAAAATGTTATCGTTTTTTGCTATTTATTTGATCCAATTTTCTTCCATGTGTAATCGCTAGGATCCATAGTTGACTCTCCGAGTGTCGTCGAAGAATAGAGCAACGTAAATGTAGCTGTACAGATAAAATACAATCAAATACGGAAGTGATCGTATATACAACAGTTATACGTAGTTTACACGAGGAGTAAGGAGTTGATAAATGAAAGTAGAGGCAGAGGTTGAATCGAACCAACTGTTTTGTTAACACTCGGAGAGTCGAAACTTCTCTGCCTTAATTTTTTAATATCTTCGTGTCCTGGCCGCTCGTGTGCGTATTTTCTGAGAATCCTTGCGGAGCAGTCAAATCGCGATTAATTGGCCATTAGTCGTTTATAACTCACCCGAAAAGTCGAAGACTCGTCGAGGCTTCAGTCTTTCAGTCTGTTAACACCAGGGACGAGAAACCGCTGTTTTGCTCGTGTGAAACGTGTAAACTGTATCGTATCGCAAAACGAGCTGTACGATACATTTCGTAACGTGCTTTGTCGAGGTATATCACCAATTAAGATACGAAAATTAGTAGATCGACACCGATAACGGAACCTGACCCAAGCGAAGGAAATGGAAATATTCCGATGGTAGCGGTATCTCAGTAATTCTCCAGTGCTATGCTCTAGGCAACGAACTATTGGCTCGTCGGGTCGTTTTCTGTATCGTTAGTTGAACTTTGACGCGTCGATTAATGTTGCCTCGAGCATGACACTTTAGAACCAAGTATGGTCGGTTGCCAATGTTAACACGGACCGTTCGTGCAACGTACACGGTACAAGTACATCGAAATTATTCACGGTACGGTCTGGGTGTTTCTCGTAAAAGTCCCTGGTCAACGCGAACGCATTTTATATTTGTTCCTTGCGTCGTTGCGAAACGTGTATCGTTATTTATATATATTTATATGTACGTGTGTATGTTTGTGTGTACGTGAGCATGCGTTGTACGTGGAAGTAACGAAAATTAACAATTGTCTCTCAGAGGCTTGTGACGATGTGTGGCTTGGCAGTGGTGGATGCGATCTCGGAGAGTCGCACGTCGATTGGAATGCGATCGTCGTACAGCGTCGGGGCCTGAAGTATGATCCCCGCCGTACCAACAACCACGGCTAGTGTAAAAATCAACAGGAACAGCCTGTCGAGTACCATCGCAACGTATTTCCAATCTTCCTTCACCTGGAACAGAAAATGTTCTACTTAGAACCGTGCGCATATTCCAGTGATCCAAGTAGAAAACATAATACCAGATGACGGAGAACACTTTACGTCTGTAACAGAACGAATATAACTCTCACGTACTCTGGTGGAGTCTTCTTCCCTCTTCGTATGGTCGGCAATGAAACGAATGCCTTCGATGGCCTTGTACAGTTCTGGGCAGTGATGCCAATGATGAAGCGTGTTACAAAGAGCGTCCACGCTTTCCTCCGTCGGGAGTTGAGGCGGAGGAGCTGCCGTGGCCGCTGGTGATCCGTGAATGCGACACGCGCTTCCCAAATTCACCGCTTCCAATTCCCTGACGAGCAAAATTTCTCAGCTTAAACGCGCGTTGGATGCGCTTCGAAACTCAGAGAACAGGATTTCATTCAACCATTTGCACACGAGGACCTCTTTTTTTCTGGTATCTACCAGCAACTCGAGATGCTTTCTTAGCCATTCCATTGCCACGAATGTTATGCTTAGATTTGGACTTTGAAAACGGGATTGTCCAATTTGAGAATTGCTGCGTGAAATCTAGTCTCTCTCGAGTGCAAATGGTTGAACGTTCAGTTTAGGATTTTCTAGAGGAAAGGAGTTGGGAAAAATTAGAAAAATTTCTCAACGTTTAAGATTCATTTCAGGATCTGAAACGTTCGATAACGTTTGCGTACCGAGGATGTAATTCGTCCCGCGAATCGAGACTCGGGAACAGAACGGAGGATTCGACCAACTCCGAGGCTGAGGTCTCCACGAACATAGACGGGTCCCGCAATTCGAGACCGTTGCACGTTCTGACCATCACGCGCTGACCGTGATGACCACCCATGCCACGTTTGTCTATCTGGTACTGCGGCCTGTTTGGAAGTTAATTAAAAAAAAGTACGATTAACCGGTGGCAAGCGGATCGATCTTCGATGCGATGAAGAATATCCAAGTTTCTCTCGCGGTTAACTTTCGAACGGTGTAATAGAAACTCGCTACGATTTATTCTGAAGATATAAAGCATGTCGCTGCAGACGATCGGTGAAGTAAAAGCTTTTAAATATTCTAAGTTGATTGGTTTACGTACATGTTTTACGAAGTTATCGATGGACGACGAATAAGCAGACGAGTGAGAGAACGAATCAAGCAAAGAGTTGTCCAATTTATTCGATTAAAATGCATGGCGGTTAAAGGATGGAAAATTCGGTTTACTACGGTATCATGTTTCAGGCTTGCGAGAAACTACGTTCTACATCGGGACTACGTTAATGTTACGAATAGTATCTTACAGGTGATAGAAATGATCGGAAACTACTGTGGCAACCAAGCAGTGACTTACTCGTAATCGTTTACTGGTAAAGTGAACGTGTACAAGGTCTGAGCAAGGCGATGTAGCGTGGTGCTGAACTGTGCAGAACGTTTCAACGGAACTGTCGAACTGTCGGTGTTAGCGTTTACAGTGGCCAGTGCGGGAATCGAGTACGTTCGAGCACGAAAGAAAAGGGGAGAAAAAGACGAATCCGACGAATTTCCGTTTCTGCCTTCGTGCAAATCACGAGATACGATTTCGTTGCTTTACGCACGAATGTTTCGCGATACAGCGGTTAAATGAAATCTTAAAGCGACCAGATTAAACGACGTCGTTGGTCGTCGGATGATTTTGAGCGGGCCGTTGATTTGCAACTCGGCGGGAAACTGGAGTTTAGTGAATTCAAGTTCAATTCGCTCTGCGGACAGAGAGTAGTGGGTAGTTGTGCTAATGGTTGCAGACGCGACGTGACGCTAACGTCACGCGCGAGGCCACTAATGAACGTTCTAATGCTGCTTGGCACAGACCCAACGGCTGGTCCAAATGCTCGTAGAATCATATCTTGCCTGGAATCGTAATCGGTTCTCTTCGAAGACGTATTATACCTGCGCATCACCAG